GTCTAAACAAGAACCAGCATTACGAAGGTAAGTGTTTTTACTTTCTATTTTTCTACTTTTTAAAATTTTAAGTTTTGGGAAAGTATAAAAATATTAATTTGAAAATTGAACTTTTCGTAAAATTCGTATTTTAGATCTGCAAAACTGTCTATAATTTTAAATTTTGGAATCCCACATCATTTAAAATCTTAATGAGTTTCACTTTTTTTGGATAATATCGTATTATTATAGTTAACTTGTTTATACTTAAAACAAGCTTAAAATGTTCTAAATATATAAAAAATAAACTTATTATTTAATTGTAACGACTAAATATAGAAATCAATAAAAATGTATATTACACTTTGATATCTGGTGTCATTTTTCAATTTTTTGAAACTAGTTTTTTATCTTGTTGCAAATTACCGTAATATTTTGAAATTAAACATGTTAAACATATATCAATATAATGTGGGATTCAATTTTTTGCTTTCAGAATCTAGAAAAAAATTTTGTACCTGCAGTGCAGAAGCAATATAATTTCAAAAAAAAATTTTTTTTTGTAAAGAAAATTTTTAAAAAATGAGGCGCTAATCTATACCTAGTTCAAGGTCAAATTCCAATATCTCCAATTTCGGAACGACGAAACGGTTCGAATGAACTGTGATCCGATAACACTGTAGACAGCAGAGTTCATTTTTTGAAGAGTTTGAAGCATAATTAGATTTGAGACATCTAAGCCTTCTTTAAGCTTGAGAACAAAGATATAAATCCCTAAAAGAACGTATAAATCTGAGGCTAAAGCCTAAATGTAAAAATAAGCCTATGTCTCAGATCTTGTGTCTCAGTCCAAGCTGAATTCTGAGCTTAAGCTTGAGACAAAACTAAAGCCTAACCCAACCAAGATTCTAAAACTATGTCTCAACTTGAGACTGAGCCTCAGTCTAACCCTAAACAAGCCTAATCTAAAACCTCGGTTTAAGCTCAAGACTTAAACCTGATAAGAAGACTAATTGTAAGCCTAAACTTAAACGTAAGCCCGAGACTAAAGCCTGTGCCTATGCCCAGCTAACACAAGCCTCGTCTAACCCCATCAGCACAAGCCCAAGCCGGAGCTTGTGCCTACGACTAAACCTTAAACTATATTTATGCTTGTGCCCATGCATAATCGTAAGCCTAAGTTTTCCTTACCATATTTTCCAGCAAAAAAGCAACAATTAAAGTAGTTAAAGCAGTAAAAAACCCTCGTAACTTTCAATTTTTTTCCTAAACCACGCCAACAATAACGCTGAAGAACGTCGCTGATAATATCGTAAAAAGAAACAAGGATGACGAACACACTTTTTAAATGTTCTACTTTAAAAAATAATAAATTTTGTTTTTTAAACCAAAATTTTCAACACTGCTACAGTTTTTATGCCGGTTTGTGTGTGTGGTCATCTAAACCCTTCGACTTTCATTTTTTTTTTACAAAGTGCCATTCATAAAGAAACATAATGAATCAAAAAACTGCTATTTTACCAGTTTTTATAGCTATAAGACATATGACTACTGTCTGGCTCATTTCTAAAGTTAAAAACTTTAAATATTACTCAGAAAAAGTTAGCAAATAGTTTCTTTGCTTAGTTGTCATGCTTCCAGTACCAGCTCTAACTCTAATCCTTATTTTACCTATAGCTCTGACCCTAGCTATGACTATTAACTTAGTTCTAAGCCTAGCTTTATCCCTAGCTTATGCTCTATACTTAGCTTTAGCTCTAACCCAAGCCCAAATCCTAGCCTTAGAGAATCACTGCCATATAGTGAGCCATAGCCATATCACTGGCCTTAGTTCTAGATTTAGCTTTAACCCTAGCCCTACCTCTGGTTCCAGCCATAGCCTAGCCATAAAAACCCATAAATTCTTCCTAGATTGCAATAGCCCTAGCCTTTACCCTAGCTCTAGCCGTAATCTTAGCCATAGCCCAGCCTTAGCTTTAGCCTAGTCCGAGTTTTACATTTAGCTAAAATTCTAGTTCTAACAAAAGAAGTGTCTCACCTGATTTCGGAGATACGAATCGACCCTAGGCTCATTTGAAAGCCTATTTGAATACAATATAAAGTTAGGTTTAGCCCTACATCTAAAAATATTTTGTAAAAATCCACCCTTAAATTAATTTGTCCTATCTTCAATAGCATAAATTTAAAAAATTACCTCTACCCAAAAAAATCACCCATTTCTTTAAAAAAACGCAGGAACCCAGCCAAAATCAAATATCCATCCCTAAAAAATTACCCCTCATAACAAAAACAGTGACAAAAATACCCCTCCAAACAAAAACAGTGACAAAAATACCCCTCCTAACAAACACAGTGACAAAAATTGCCCAAAAATTACACATATTATACATACGAAACCTCCAAAAACGCTAGCAAACCGGTTTTATAGCGCTATAAACGAATAAAACAAAATCGAGCGATTCGAACGCCGACTAGCTCGGGTCAACAACCCAGTGCTAAATGCATACGAATGCGCAAAAAATGGCTGAATTGTAAGAAGAAATGTCATTCAAAGATGCGAGTGTCTGGCGAGCAATGCGATAAATCCGGCCGGTAAAGCAAAGAAGCTGTGCGAGCGTTACGGAAGTGTTACTGAGCCGTTGCTAGCTGTATTAGCATTAATAGGGCTAGAGCTAGTTATAAAGGCTTATCTTCAAATGTAGGCTTCAACACGGGCTTAGACTTAGGCTTATGCTTAACTTCAGAATGAGCTCACGTTTATGCTTAGATTAAAGCTTGGGTTTAATCTTATGCTTGAGCTCAGGATTAGTACTAGCCTTAGCTTAGCCACAGCCATAGTCATAACCAGCCTTAGTCTAAACCATAGCCTTAACCCAGAGCCCTCGCCTAGAGCTCTAGCCTTAGCGCTAGCCCTAGTCATAGTCATAGCCTTAGTTTTACCCTTTGCCTTAGACTTTGTCGCAGCTCTAGGCTCTTTTAGCTTTTTGTACCGTACCGTATCCCACCCCTCCCCCTTAAAAACACCTCTAAATTAAAGCGAGCGAACACCCCTATTCACTCTCTACCATAACATAGTCTAGCGAGCACACTTGTCGCCGAAAAAAGTGGCGACTTTGTTTGAGGACTTATTGGCATATCCTTATGACACCAACTTTCCGTTGTTTGTCATTGACATTCCGGTGGCCGCGTGCTTGCTATTGTCCTGCGAGCGACTTTGGCCAGTTGGCGAGCGTGTCCTTGAAAAAAACCATTTTTCAAGGCATGGGTCGGGGAGGTAATAACCGGATGTCATAAGGTAGAGATACAAGTAGCAAAAAACCCACCTTACTTTACCCTACTTTACATTACCCTACCATACCCTACCCTACCCTTCCCTACTCTGTTCTACCCTACCCTACCCTACTCTACCCTGTCCTACCCTACTTATCAGGCGAACTTATTATTGTTTATTATATTATACCGTAAACTACAGTACTCAAACTTATAGTAATTAAAATACCTACCACAAGATATTGAAAAATAACTAAATAATGCCCCCATGGCTCAAACTACCTCCTCTCTATTACATTATGCTACAAAAGTTACTGTGTTGATCAAACAGTAATTGAAACTTAAAAATTGCTACCCAGTGCCGACTGTCACAAGACGAAACGAGTTCGGACCAGTTGCACTAATTGGCTATTTCGTGTAATCGCACTCTCAATGTCCACCAAAGTTGCGGCTAATTTCGTGTCCCGGTCGGTGTGGAACCAACTTGCAATTCACTCAATATTCAACTATGTTTTTGGGCCGTTTTTCAATTTTTTTCTAAACTTTGAAAATTTTTTGAACTGACTTTTCATGAGCTTAGAGAGTTTAGGCTTCCCACTTTAAACAAACTATGTTTAAAAAACTTAGAAAAATCTTTTGAGGTGAAAATTTGCATAAAGGGGGGGAGAAAAAAAATTAAAAAATTTTTAAAAAAAAATTTTAAGCCAAGAGCTTGAAGGGTCTAGAGGCTTGACGTTTTTCACCAGTACTAGGTTCTGTTTTACCCTGGAGGAACACAAAATGAAAAAAAAACCTTTTGAGGTGGAAATTTGCACAAAGAAGGAAAATTTCAAAAAATATTTTAAAAAAATTTTTTTTGATTAAATTTGATTAGAACTTTCCAGCGTCTAGGCTAGACGTTTTTAATCAGCATTAAGCTCTGTTTTAGCAAGGACGCTTTAAAAATTAAAAAATTCGTTTCAACTGAAAATTTGCCCAAGGGGGGGGACCAAGCTCAATAACTTACATGTTAGAACAACTATTTTTGAATACCAAGCCTACCAAACCAAAAAAAAGTTAGTATTCAATAAGTTTTGGCAGTTTAACCGCACCCCTCCCCCCCCGTTATTTTTTTGCTCTGTAGTGCCTTTGCTTACTATTGAATTCTTACTTTTTTCTGATACAAAATTAATTTTTATCATGTGGGCATAAAACCTTTTTTAAGCCTTTCCACAATTTACACTCGTTTTATATTCCACATATTAGTATAGAATGTAAAGCTGTTACATTTTAAACTCGACTTGTTGCATTTTTATTAAAAAATGTTAGTGAAGAATGTAAAATTTCAAAATTCTATGTTTATTAGACTTTTTGTATCAGCCCTTTTCTTAAACATGAATTTATTATTTTTTATTTCCACTCATAACACAAAAAAGCTTTAATAAAGCTTTGTCGCTTTTTACTGTACGAAACAGTGATAAAAAACGACAAGACTTTTTTTTAACTTTTAAAAAAATGTCATTTTCCAAACCTATCCTGCCCTATTCTGCTCTACATTGACCTACCCTACCCTACTTTACCTTACCCTACTCTACCCTGCCCTTCTCTACCCTACCCAACAGTATACGAATAATAATATATATACATACCATATAACAAGTGTTGCAGACCCTTGTATGTCATAAAAATATATTCTTTACAGCTCGACGCAATTATTCAAGATTTCGTTCCGAAGAAAACCAAATCTGAATCCGTTGGACTTGTCTCGGCGCATGATGAGCGCCGTACCCGCTAAGGTAACAGTAAATTGTAAAATTAAAAATTTTCTCTATTTTATAAAGTTAGGCTTACAAAGTAGAGCAGAAAGCCAAAAAATTTTTTTCTACAAAAATTTTTAACCACCCCCCTCCCCGCCCCCATTTTTTTTCACTTTTTCCCCCTTCCCCCCCCTCCCCCCCCGCTCCAAAAATTTACCCCTCCCAAAAAAAACTTTTTCCTTCCGTACCTTTTAAAAACGTTTTTATACCTACACACTCCTCCACACACCCCTGTCCCTTTCTCCCAAAAAACAAAGCAACAGCCAAAGCAATACCTCCTTCAGGTCCGAGACGTCGTGACAGAAGTGGTAAGCGACATCGTGCCAACTTCAGTTCAAAACAAAGTAATGGACGTGTTGTCACCAACAAGTTCAATAAAATCTCAATCCTCCGAATCCGACAATCCGAATGAGTACCGAGAACTGTTGGTATCGTTGAGTGATAACAAGAACGACCACATATTGTGGATGCAATGTCTGATGACATGTGCTCGCCGTGGAGATGGGGAGTTCAGCTTCACGTTGGATAAGTGTGGCGTTCCTAATTTGAAGGTATGTTAACTCTTGTATAATAGTATCTACGTGACCTACCTTACTCTACCCACCTTACTCTACCATAATCTTCTCTACCCTACCCTACATTACCCTGCCTTACCCTATCCAGCCCTACCCCAATGACAATATATCTAAAATATAACATTCCAGAGCGGCGACTACTTCCTCAACCTCTCCTACGACTGTCTTGATGCCAATTTACTGAAAAGTCAAAACGACTGTAGGTTCTTCTGGGAAGGTAACTATGTCGACGGCAAGGTCTACGATCAACTGGAGATGAATATACAAACAATGACTGTTGTATCAAACAAATGTGGCAATGTATTGAGAGGAATGGGAGCTACAAAAGGCACTCGCATCTTGATATACATGCCATGTGTAGCTCAACTACCAATCGCTATACTAGGCGCTGTTCGGCTTGGAGCTAGCATTACTTTTATTGTAAGTAGAAGATAGGGTAGGGTAGAGAAAGACAGAGTATATCAAAGTAGGGTAAGTTAAGGTAGCGTAATGAAAGGTAGGGCATAATAAAGTATGGTAAAATCACTTTATACCAATATATTATAATACATTACACTCAACCCCATTACAGAACGCCACCATCCACCACGATGTAGAAACCCTAAAAAATTTGTTCAACATGGCCGAACCCGAACTTGTAATAACATTAGATGGCTTTTTCCTCGGAGAAAACATCAAAGAATCCAAAAAACTGGTCGATCAAGTGCTATATGAACTGAGCTTAAAAGAAGACAGCGAAGGAGTTAAAGAAGACTACAAAAGACCACGGATTCTGATGATCCAGCACGTTGCGGCTAACCCTGAAATGCCTCCGCCAACTTTTCAGCTCAAAAAACGACCGTTCTATGGGCTTAACGTGAGTTTCAGACTAAAATACGAAACAAAAAAGGACTAACATTAACATGAAAGACTGTGATTAAAAAAGGCTTAAAATAAAACTTAAAATGGGCATAAAACTAGAATTAAAACGCCTTAAAACTAAGATAAAACAAGCTTAAAACTATATTTAAAAAACCCATTTAGATCCCATTCAATGAAGTCACCGACTGCCGCTGGGACGACGAAATGCTCAACGCTGATGAACGTTGTGAAGTTGAGTGGATGGACAGTGAAGACATGATCTTTCAAACTTTTAGAGAAGGGTAATATAATTAGTTTACATTAAAAACCATAAGGTCAAAATTCTTAATGAAACAAGGTCCATTATAATCGGCTAAACTCAAAAAACTTATATTATCCGTGACCATTTCGGTAGTCTTCCCAATAAACATTCCTTTTTTTGCCGTAGAACTAAGTGTTTACTACCAAATTTAACATTAAAAAATTGTTCAAGAAATTTGCTTTAAAATAAGCCTAATCTTATCCTATGAAACAACAAAATTACGAACAAATAAAAAAACTATATTAACATTGACCTTTTTAATACTTTTGCGAATAAACCTTCATTTTTTCAAACAAAAACCAAATATTTAACCCCATGTGTTATATCAAAAGATTCTGCATTAAATTTACTTCAAAATAAGCCTAATCATACCCCAATTAACTTCAGACTTACAAACGAAACATACGTTTTTGAATCGTACACCGTCGGCCAGATCGCTTTACTTTCCAAACTCTTAGCCACGAAAATTGATCGAAACAACGGCCCAATCTGGCTTCTAGCCGACTCTGATGATCTGCTCTACTTGTCCTGCATCTTTGCTGCCCCAATGTCCGACACTCCACTTTTAATGGTAAGAGATGCCAATGAAATACCAAATCTTGCTCCACATGGCTACTATAATATATAATATAAGTAAATTCGTATTATCTCGTCACAAAAATAATTAAAAAGTTTAAAAAACAATTTACAGTGTGAAGGCTCACCGATCCAACCAGATGCAAGTCGTTTCTTCGACGTGCTCGAACGTTATAACGTTGAACAGATCATTATTGCCGAAGAATACACACGGTTATTGATGCGCAACGAGGAATTCCAGCATTTGTGGCAGTCGGACGAAGAAAAGAACGCTGATCCTATAATTCATGCTGCGTTAAGTGTAATTTACAGTGCTACAAAGCCATCGTCGGACAGCGAGATCTGCGAACAATTCCTTCACCGTCTCGCACCATGCGCGGATATCCACACAATCAATTGTTAATTATAAAAGTCTGATGAAAAATAAAAATTTCAAAGTAAAATGTATAAAAAAATAATAAAATAGACATAATTCAACATATATTGTTAATATCGAGTCATAAAGCAGCGAATAAATATTATAACAAATAAAGTACGGACCTGTTCCATAGTATAAAATCGACCTGCAAGCTGCAAGAGACAGATGTCGGGCGCAGCAAAGCGAAAAATAAATGAGGAAAAATTAATTTTTCTTGCACATTTTTTGTTACTGAAGAATTAAACTAGTTTAAAATAGAAAAACTAGTAGTTTTTAAAATTTATATTGTTTCAAAAATCATATAATATTAAATTTGATAATTTTTAACGTTCAAACTGATTTAGAGCTTATATTTTTACGTATTTTTCGTGTGATAACGCTTAAAACAAGAAATATCTCGTTTTTTGCGCGTACTTTGCTATATCTTCTCTAGAATTCTTAACAACGCCTTTTTTAAGTTTAATAACCGTTAATTTTTAGGTTTTTATAAAAATGGAAGCTGTTCAACGAAAAATGAAGGCAGCCGTTGATGGGCTATTAGATGAGCTGGACAAGCAATATCTCCGCGATACCCAGAAGCGAATGTTCATATGTTCTTCTAAATGTTGTGAAGATAAGACGTCAGCAAGGGAATCGATTGAAAAATGCGTCGCAAGATGTAATGTGCCTCTTCAAAAGTCTCAGGAGGCTTTGGAAAAGGAATTGGGCGCCTTCCAGGTAAATTTTTAGTTTTTTGTTTGGTTTTTAGGCTTATTAGAAAGAGAATGAAGTAGTCTGCGTGGGATAAAATTCTGGTTTAGATGATTTTAAGGTAATGTGGCAAAAGAGGTCGTTTTCGCACATTAACTATGATGCAGTGCATGGTATTATAAATTTGAATATATTATGGAAATTACTGACTGATATGTGTTATATTTTATGTTTTTCGATAGAGAAGAATCTTCTTTATCTAATGGTAACAATTTTAGGACCAACTTTCACGATGTGCTCAAACAACGTACGACAAAGCGATCCAGCAACTAGGACCAGACCCAAATAAGTATTCCGAGAAGGAAATGAAAGTTTTTCAAGTAAGTTATTATTGCTTAAGGCGGCTAATGTTACTAAACTACTTATTTTATAATTAAAATTTGTTGTTATCGAATGTGCTCTAATGATTAAACATTTCAGGAGAAACTAGACAAAGGAGTGGGTCAGTGCGCGGATGAGCACCTCAAGTTGTTACCTCAAGTTAGGAAACGACTCATAAAGGACTTCACTAGCTAAATTATGCAAATTTTTTAGCTTTCTATTAGATGACTTGTTTCTTGTTGAATTTGTTTCTAATGATAAAAGAATATTTTGTTTAATTTTAGATTTATTAATTTAAAAAATTTTACATTCAAGCTTTATTACCCAAAAATTATTTATATAACCCATCCCTCTGCTGTCTTACCCACCGCTGTACTACAACTAGAATGTAGTACACAAGGGAAAGGCACCATAACAAAAATGTAAGGTACCAATCCACGGTGGTCCAAAATCCAAGACCAGCCATACGAAACACGCCAGACCTTTCACGTGAGGCGACGGCCCGCTCGCACGTCTTGCGCTTCCATATCTTCATCCTACTGTCCCAGTCACGCCGGGAACAGTTAGCGTACTTGTTGGGAGGTTGGGGATCGTCTGGTCGACGCCCATCTTTCAGGACGTGCCTTGCGTACAGAAGGTACGTTTGGCTTTTCTTATACTTCTCGATCTCCTAAAAAGAAACAAAAGTAAACATGTTTGCAGCTAACCAAGTGGGATATCCCTAAATTTTCGAGCACCAACTTACCATTTCCCTCCTCCTCACAATCTCTTCCGCCGGTTGAGTTACCTGCGAGGGCTTATTTGAAAGAGGCGCCATTTTGGATAACTAAAATTTAAGAAGTATTTATGTTTACATAATTAAAAAATAGTATGTTAACTTGTTCCTATAGTATTTTTCTACATAAATCAAAAGGTAATAAGTCCAAAGTTTGTTATTTTATTTGTGATCTCTCTAAAAATTTTAATTTTTGTAGTTTGTTACATTTACAGCCTTAAGCTCTAATTGCTTCCTTGTCTATTTTAGCCAAAAAAGTATATTTGAACATGTAATATACCATTCATGTTGTAAAAGCCATAACTCATGGCCTAATGTTTACATGCACATTTTTAGAAAAACCTTCAAATAATAACATCAATTTAAGCAACCAATACAACAGAACAAACCCAAAATGCAAAAAAAGCTCGAATTAAAACAATATAGTTTATTAACAGTCTTTAAGACAAATGTTATCAAGTTAATTACAATATAATAAGTCGAGGTATGAATAAGATAAGTAAAATTGTTGTAGAGGTGTTATAGTAAGCGTGAGGTATCAAACACACAACAAGTAAGATCAAGGTTAATGTGGCCTAAAGAAGACGGCTTACTTCTACTATCAGTTGATATGGTACAACATAGTTTATATAATAGAAGTCATAATCAACAAATAACAGAAATTTCATACAAAGATCTTAAAAAAGAAAGAATAGGTAACAAAAGTTAGTAATAAAGTAACAATAATATACAAACATTAGCTAATTATACATATATACAACCAAATGTAGCTCAGCTCTACAAACAATAAAGATATAACAATAGTAAGCTCGACTATGTACAATAATATACAAAAACCACTAAGTAATGAAAAGGTCAAAAGAAAATGTAGATGTAGAAGTTGAAAAGCACCGGGAAGGGCACATGCAGCAAGTGTTTATATGCTTGAAATAGTAAGTGATGATATGGTTGAAGGTGATATGAGTATGGTCAAGGGAAGGTCTGAAATTAAAATAAACCTTTCTGCCATTCTTCATAGTATATATAATTATAAAAAATTTAAAAACTTAGTTTTTAAAAATTTTTTTCAAAACTCAAAATTTCAAAAATTTAAAACATTTCCTTTTAAATTTCAAAAACTCCCCTCTCGAAAACCCAGCTTACCTTCCAACTGCCATTCTTCAATGTCCATACTTCTTCAAAAAGATAGCAACCTCCAATGGGTATGGACAGACATCATCTGATACGTCATCCCACTTACAATTTGTTAGCATTATTAAACTTGATACAACGGATGGCATTTACATTTTATACTGCACTCTGGCTTCGAACACAAACATTGACAGAGGAGAACAAGGTTCTTGAGGTTTATGACCCATCCGAGCTCGCTCCGTCCTTTCCATCGTGACGGACATTCTCTGGTGCCTGAAAGTTGCCCTTTTAAATCAAAACTAACCACAAAACCAAAAATAACATAAAAAAGCCAAAACAAGTAAAACAAGACCAATAGAAAGCAAGTAAAACTTTAAAAACCTACCAAGTAGGCATTAGCATTCCTGACAAGTCTCCTTTTCCACTTGACTTCAATCCAGCTTCATTAGATCAACAATCGGCTGCATAGTCTCCTTTTCCTTGATGTACAAAGCTGGTCCGTATGTGCATGGAGTCACACGGGTACATGGCCTTGGAGACCTCGGTCTTCCCGACGAACCCGGTGCTGGTTGATCTTCGTCTGGTGGTGCATTTTGGGCCTGAGCTTGAGGTTGTGCTCTTTCAGCCAGTGCTGGAAGCTCTACACTTTCAGCCGCCGCATCATATGGAAAACATTGAGCTGAAAAGCAAGGTTGATCAGCTTGTTCTGGTGATTTAGTTCCTTGCCCTCCTTCAGCTTGCCCTTCTGATACCTTAGCCGTTCCTGGTGCTCCTTCAACATGAACTGTTGCTCCTTTGGACGTTCCTGATGTTCCTTCAGCTTTTCCTTGCCATCCAACTTGAGCCTGTCCTGACCCATCCAAAATCGGCTCTGGCTCTCCCTTTAACATGGCCGGATTCCGATTGTCAAGGAAGTAATTCTGCATGAATTCCGAGAGCAGTTTACTCAGATCAGCTTTCGGAGTCTGTGAAGTCTTGGTATGATCAAACACAAAAGGTTTAAACTTCAATTTTGTCTCTGGAATCAAATGCTTTAGGGGTTCTGTTGTGCATTCGGCTTCTATTTCCACGAAAGTTCCATCCTTATGATCGCGACTGCAGTGTCAGCGTATTCACAGTCGTCATAGCGACAAATTTGGACGTCGTTCTTCATTAAGATGCAACTTAAAGAAGGATCTTAAGTAATATAAAACAAGATATTTAAAATTTAAAAAAAATTTTTAATTTAAAAATCGAAACTCAAATTTACAAAATGTTTCAAAATTAAAAAATGAATTTTTAAACCAAAATTTAAAAAAATTACAAAAAAATAAAGAGAACATTGGCTAGCCATTTTTTAAATAAAAACTTACTGATGGTGTATATCGGGATATTTTCTTGGTGAAACTGCCCTCTGTCGATAGAAGAACTTTGAGTAATATCCACTTTCAAACCGCGGATCCATTTTCGGGTTCAAATTGTACTTGGTGACCATCTTCTTCTCCTGAGTCTTCATTTGTGAAGCCGAATACACTTTAGTGGTAGCACGAACATCAGCAGGTGGATCCCATCGATCGTCGAGGTCAATATTGGCATTGAGAGTCGGATGAAGCCAAATTTTGAGTTTGTCCCTCTTCTCCGCAGCCAAATATTGATTTCGTTCCGTCTTGACCTGCTTCAGCTTCCTGTTTATGTCCTTGACAAAGCAGTTTTGGAAGACGCACTTCTCGTCCTTACTGTAGAGGCCAACGTCGTCTTCGGTGAGATCGTCGAACAGCTGCATCCGGTTAATTTGCTCCGTTTCCATCGATTCTTTGTTGACGTTTCCTGATCATTTTGGTGAATTTCTGAGGTTCACGGAAGACTCCACCTTGGGTTATGCACCTGGTGACCACAAACAGCTTCAACTGAAAATGCAAAATTTAGATGCTTGTTATGCTTGCGGTTCATAGTTTAATGGCCATGCTAGGTTCTGTATTCAAATAGTTTTTAGGTCTAAATTTCGATTCTTTAGGAAAACAAAAGATCAAAAGGTTGTCCACACAAAAAGTTGAAGAAAATGATTTTTTGAAGTAAAAAAGAAGGATTCCTTTAAAAAAGTAACGAAAAATATTAACTTTGAAAAAATAAGCTTTCTATCAAATTTTCAACAAAACTAAAGGTTTTTCATTAAAAACGAAGAAAAAATACGTTTTAAAAACAAAAAACACTTAAAAAATCAAGCCAAAAAAGAGTACTCAAAACTGAGCTTCAAAAACCTATAACAACTTAAAAAACCCATTAAACTCTAAACACAGTTAAACAAGTAAAACTTCAAAAACCCACCAAATTGACATCAGCATTCCTGGCAACAGTCTCGTTTTACACTTGACTTCGGTCCACCTTCATTAGATCCACAATCGGCTAGATGGTCTCCTTTTCCTTGATAGACAATGCTGGTTCATATGTGCATGGAGTGACACGAAAATCCTTAAAAACCAAAAATTTAAACAATTTGAGCAAAAAATTAGTTAAAAAAACAATTTTTCATAAATTTTTCTTTAAAACGTTACGCCAAAAAAGTTTTCGAGTCGATTCCAAGAAAAATAAACAATGAAAAGATATTTTCAGCGGCGATTGAACTATAATTATATGAAAACCAAGTTACGAAATGAAATAAAACAACAATGTTAAAATTCTAAAATGTGGATAAAAACTAGACCTTGTAGTATCAAGGTCCAAGGGGACCCATGACTACTGGGATCCCAGTAGTATTTGCCGGAGCTTTGATACTACTGTAGGATCCTTACTTCCTTACGAAGGGTCGGACCAGCTTTGAATCCATCTTATACCTGCGCGGCGCAGGATTTCCAGAATCAATAATAAGAGGCAGATAACTCCCTCTTCTGCAGTAAAATTTAAAAATTTAAGTTCCCTTAATTTCATTTTTTAGGTTTTTGTGGTAAAATATTTTTTCAGAAAAAAGAATCGAAATCGAAATGTAATCTTTTTGCCATCGGCGAAAGCAATTTCATAAAATATTGGCTAAACTGTTATAAATTGAGCCTTCTAGGTCCGTGTCGCAATGGCCGGATTGTTAAGACGTGGGCCTTTGTGCGGAACCACGCGAGTTAGAGCCTGCGCAAGCGCACTTTAGTTTTTTGCTTAAAGGTGCTATAAACATAGAAATACTGTTATAATATTTATTGTTAATTAACATAAAGTACTTTTCGATATCTTTTTTTTGATAATTCTTGTGAATTGTTAAAAAATAATATGGTTTTTAAGCAAAGGTGTGTTTCCTTACTTCTTTAAGAAGAATCGGACCAGCTTTGTATCCAGCGTATTCCCGCTCTACGCAGGACTTCCAGAAGGAATAAGAAGAGGCAGTTATCTGCGCTGATGTTCAAGAATTTAAGTTCTCGCAAGTTCATTTTTCAAGCTTTTTTTGGTGAAATGTTGTTGCAAAAAAAAGAATCGAAATCGAAATGTAATCTTTTTGCCATTGGCGAAAGCAATTTCATAAAATTTTGACTATTTAATACCTAAAAATTTACTTTCTTTTAAGTTTCCAAGTGGACCCATGGCTACTGGGATCCCAGTCGAGATGGTTGTAGCCCTAAAGAGGGCCTCACGACCGGGATACCAGTAGTATTTGCCGGAGTTTTGATACTACTGTAGGATCCTTACTTCCTTAAGAAGGGTCGGACCAGCTCTGGATCCAGATGATGCCTGCACGGCGCAGGATCTTCAGAAGTAGTAAGAAGAGACAAATTATTGCCTCTTCTAGACTGATAAACAGAAACGATGTTTCTCACAAGTTCATCTTATTTAAGCTGTCGTTTGATGAAAAGTTTTTGCAAAAAATATTTCATTTTAATCTTTTTAGAACGGTGACTTAAAAAACTTATAACCATATTTTAACTTTTAAATTGTGCTTACTCAGAAAACACCGGTTTTGACCCATAGGTAAACATTTCGCGGAGGTGAAGATGATATGGTTCAACGGCATTATTGGTTCGGCAATGATTTTTTATAATACTTCGGTAATGCGACCATGTGTTAAATGAAAATCGCGCTTCTGATTCACCGTTTTTTACGTAATTTCTAGAAAAAACTAAATATTTATCTTTTGTACTTACTTCAAAAAGCAGTTTAAAAACCTTGCAACCTCATTCTCCACGTGTTTCTTAAAAGTTCTCGGCTTCATCGAAAGCACATTGTATCCTTGAAGCATAAGTTCCTCAGTTGGCAAAAAGGACAAAGGGGCTAGAAACCTGACTAATTTTTTGAAGTGGTCTGAACTTTCATAAAACCGGCTGTTTTTAATCTTTTATGCGACGGTGTAATTTAAAAAAATATTCATTATACGTACTTTGAACACTCTTACGTAATTGTCTTGGTGTTTGTTTTCCAGATCCACCGAGTTCCCGCTCTTCGCAGGAACTCCAAGGCAGTCGTATACTGTGGCCTATATTAAAACATCGGCCACAAATGTTATACTACCAAACATTGATATCTATAATTGCAGGTGGGGAACTCACGGCAGTCTTCCTCGGTATGGTTCCTCTGAAGGCATAAGCCACAAAAAGTGGTGTCCTTTGTCGTAAATCTTCAAGTTCAGAAGTTAAAGCATTCATCTGACCACATAAATCAATAATATATTCTGATTGTTCTGCTAACGCGTTGGTTTTTTTATACGTCTGCTTCTCCTAATCTTAGATATAGACGGTCAATAGTATTTTTAAGTACTAATTTCTTCATTTAGATCGTTAATAGCCGCTTCACAATCTTATTACGTGGTTGTGAAGCAAAATTTTTAATTCTGGTACAATAGGATTAAATTTATTATTCGCCGTTTTACGAAAAATGGTTATAATAGTACAAGTACAAGATTAAAAATTAAGTTAGCCTTTATAATGTGGAATCAAGATCTACAACCACACCTTTTTTAACAAATTAAAAAAATATACTTATTTTAGCGAAGAGGCATCATCACAGCATGATGATTGCCATGGTTGTCGAGGCCACAAAAGTAACTGGGATTATCATTTGAAGATTATACTAACTTTAAGACATGAATTTCAAAAGGTTTAGTATCCTTTGGAGGATCTTCAGGAAAAATCAAAAATGATTTTTGGACGGAAGGAGTAAAAGAGATTTGAAAAAACAGCCTTTTAGTAAGAAACCCCGCCTTCTGTTTACTATATAACATTTAAAGTTCACATTTTGTTTAATTTGTATAAATTACTGTGCGGTTGTTATAACAATAGTTTCTATGCCTTTAAACGAATATTTAGAAAAAATTTATAAAAAATTTTCAGACATTTGAGTTGAAATTTCAAGATTTAAAAATTTCTCGGATTACACCGAAGCGACGACTCTATAGTTTACTTTCTTTTTAGCGTTTTTAAAAAAGATGGTTTAGAACATACAGACAGATACTATTACAGGGGTGAGAATATTGAGATTTTTTAAACCCTTTTAAGTTTTGTAATAATTTTTAAATAATTTTTTATATAAAAATTATTGTAGGTGTTAAACGTCCAACCGCTTGTCTATACACTACTTTAAACCTTTTTTGTCAAAATTTGATTTTATTTGACTTTTAAAATACAATAAACACAAAATATTTTTTACAGGAAATTTGAAAATGAATTTGATTTGGGCATAAGTTTAGAATGTGTTTGGGCTTGCGCTTGGAGTTGGGGATGCAAAGTCATTTTGTGGGCAGTTTTCAGGAATATATGCAAAAACTACATAAAATATATTAAAATTAAATTATAAAAAAAATAAATTTTTAAAAACTTACGTTGCCACATGAATTTCTGTGTCGCGTCTGTCATCTGTATACAAAAACTCGTATCCTACTACCTCTACGCAAAGAGCAAACAAAATGTTGGTAAGAAGAAAAGTAATTGTAGTGAATCTCATATTAAATACCTAAAATACATAAATTTTAAATTTTGCCCAAATCGTACACATTTTTTGCATTCCAGACGAACCAAGGGGTCACATAAGGCTAGACATGAAGAACGGGCGTTTAGGCGATCAGGCCCAGGGTTGGACGCAGGGCAGTTAAAAAAAATTTTTGAAAGGCTCGATCCTAGTCGACACAAAAAGATTGAGATTTTCATAATTTGTTTATCGTGTCAAATAAAGTTTATTTGGTTTTTACACCAGCGTTCTAGCCAATCTAGTGTGTGAAAAATTTGCATATTTGCGGTTTTAAACAAGGCAAGTGAATCAAACAGGGGCGGCACACGGAAAAAAATTTAATTCTTTTTATTTTTGGACCAGTAAAATTTTTGAATGTTTCTGTAGGAGTACTGTAACATTTACAAACATTTTGTAACTTTTTTGTTAGTTGGCCCATTGAGATGGGGCTTTTTTAATAGATAGAATACATAATTGTAAGCAACAGAATCTCAAATAAAAAATAGTGGCAATTAATATCGTTTCCGAGAAAACCGATGTATTGAATTCAGCCGCAAATATGCAAATTTTGCATACACTTCCAGATTGGCTAGAATGTTGGTGTAAAAACAAAATATACTTTATTTGACACAGTAAATTATGGTGAAAACAGCACGTCTCTACAGCTATTCGTCATTGAGATATAGAAAGCGTACCCAAGGTACAGTACTCCTTCATACTGTAATTTTTCAAAAACTTTTTGAAGTTTTTTGTTCCTTGTCATATAACACTCAATCTATTAAAGTTTAAAAATTTTTAACGACGTTAACTTTTGTTTCGCGTTGACCAGAGGCTTTAGAGTGTTCCAGTCTTATAGAAACGTGTTTTAAACAAAGCATATATTGAAAATATTTTTCCCGTTAGTAAGCTTTTTAATGGCTTACCCTTGCTCTAACAGTTTTTGAGATATTAGTTTGGCGCTTTAATAAAACTGTACCACTATTAGTACTATTTTAATTATATTGTACTATTTTAATAATACATTATTATTTTTAGTACCATTTTAAAATTAGTGCAAAATTTGGCCCAAACTTGAAATCGTCTATAAAAAAACCGCCCATAAAAGAAATCGCCCCTAATTGAAATCGCCCCTAGGTTGGCGTCACGACTATAATTACTTCAATTTAAATTTTATAAAAACAATCAAAAGTTCATTAAAAACTCAAATCAGAACTTAATTAAAAAAGTCATTCGAAAAAAATACAAAAATTGAAAAATTGTATTTAAAAAATCGCAATCAAAAAATATCTTTAAAAAATCTCATGTAGCTTGCTAAGCATTAAGATATAAAAATAGAAAACAACAAAAGTTTCTTTTACAAGTTTTTAAATTTTAAAATTTTTTAAAACGCGCCGTGCCGCGCCGGCTTGAAAGAAAAAACGGGCCGGGTCTCAAAAGTTGGCCCGGTTTGGCCCGTATCTCACCCCTACTTAAAATATATGATTACTATATCAGTAGTATATAAGTCACATGAATTTATATAAGTAATATATGTCAAAGATTATATATATATATATATTAAAATTAATATATTTAAAACCGCGTCTTCGACACGCGGATATATACGCATGGTAAATATATATAAGCGACCTGTCCGTGGTTTACCATAAAGGTCATTTCTAGCGTCTCTTTTATATGTTTTATTGGAAGTGCGCTGCAAAAATTATTGAGAAGGTCTAAACAGTCTTTAAAAAGAAAAACAGCAGAAACAAACGCAAAATAAAGAATTTCATAAAATTTTAAAACTTTTTACCGTTTTTATACAAAACAAATATTAAATTATTTTTAAAAATTAATTATATATTTTTAGTAGGGTGTCTTATTTGAAATACTTGGAGTTTTTGAGACGAGTAACCTACTACGGACAAATGGTAGAGATACTGTGGAGGAGAGGGGGGGGGGTACGGCTGGTATTGGCACGGTTGTTAATTACGTTGTCGCAAACCAAGATGTCACATCTACAAAATTTTAAAACGGTTTTTTAATCTTTTGTAATATTAAGTACAGTAGCAGTAAAAAAGTCTAACTATACAACAAAACATTTTTAACAAAACTAAAACAAATTGTTCCTGTACAATGAAATTTGAAATTTACTTTAAACTTAAACTATTTAAGAGATTTCTGTTTACTTTATGTGAAAAAATTAGTTTTTGAAAAAATTTACGCACGTATGTGTTACTTGGGTTGCCGGAGTACACACGTAGACATCAGTGGCACGGTGCTCGTCTTAGTACAGATGGTCGTGTCCATAAAGTCGGACCTCGCATCCAACTTTGAGGTTTTGGAAGAGGGACGTTACGCGGTTGTACGCACGGATAGCGTGTTTGGCACCTTCTCCATCGCGCAGCACCACAAAGTTCTTCGTGGCCATTATGTTAAGATGTATAATCTAGATAATAAATAGTGTACCTAAGTAAAGAGTAGTGTATCTAAGTAAAGAGTAATCTATCTAAGTAAAAAGTTAGCGAAATTGACTCTTATAGCTACTAAAGACGTTAGAATCAAGGCCTGGGGATACCAATCCATCAAAAACATAAGCCAACCCCAAAATCTACCGCCATCAACCAGTACGACAACCATATACGTACTAGCGGGAAACTGTGCAACAATTATTGTACTTAAAATCTGCAAAATCATTGAAAAGGTTAAACTAATTGTAGAAGCTTGAAGAATGTAAAGTAAATAAGGAAACGCTGTGAAAAAAGTTTAAATTTAAAAACGGATTATTTAAAAAGAAAAGTACAATATTTTTTACAAAAAATGTTTATAAAATTTTTGTATTTTCAATTTTCATCTCTTTAGACGTGGGGAAAGTGAAAGTAGTGGCAGTATTTTGACCTTCTAAAGATTTTGGAACAATAGCCTCAGCTAAAATTTTTAATTTTTTTGTAAAATAATTTGTAAACTTATGGCATTCCTTGAATCACGTCTTTGAACTCTGCCATTAACTGTTTGGATTACGATACGTACAGGGGTTTTGAACACATTGGCAGTGAAAATGGTACAGCATGGGGTATCATTTTGTTGTTGTTTGTTAAAGCATATAGCCAGTACACTAACATGGTCATACAATCTAAAATTAATCAAAAATTTTTATAATATAATATTTTAAACATTACATAAATATAAAATGTTCTACTTACTTATTTTTTTCCTGTCATACCCAACGGTTGTTATTTGTATGCTGGTTGTAGTATTCAAACGTTGCACACGTTATCCTAATGCTGCTGCCTTTTCCAACACTTAGTTTTTCCATCATCTTTCCGTAAGCTTTGAAAGCGTTTTGCTTAGCGCCTTCGCTGACAACAAATAATTTGGACTGCATTGCCTCAAAATAGAATGCATAAAATAGTTTACATAATACTTTTGAATAAATCCACTATTCATTTACTACAGTAACCTCCCTGTATAGCGAACCATCTGTATAAGTAAACGCTGCTTATAGTAAACAAGAAATATCGGCCTCACCAAGTCAATTTGAACTGAAAATTCTTTCTATAAAGACAATCCCCCGTATAGTGAACACAAAATATCGGCCCCTTCAATATGCTTATATAGAGAGTACTGTATTTGTACTTACCAGCTCGTATTCTTCCATTTTGTTTGATGAAAAAAGGATAGAGTGTAGCGGCAAAAATCACCTAGTTATTAGAAGACACAGAGGACTATAATACGGCAAAATCTAGTCGGCCTTGCTATTATTTATAGCCTTTTCTGAGCTATCTTTGCCCCGTCTATAATACGGCAAAGAACCTAAATTAAAACGACGAAAACTAGTTTACAGTATTTAAAAAATATTGCGAGTTTTCAAATGAAGGAAGGGGAGGGGGGATTACATGTTTTACATTTTCCATAAAAATCCTTACAAAGTCTACGTCATTGTTCCAGAAATCAAAGCTCAGTTATCGTCGTACGGCATTTTTCGTTGCTATACGGCTCAATTACTTTTGATACTCTTGTTTGTTGTTGTAGACCAACGTTTTACGCTCTTAACGCTCTTTTGTATTGTATTTTATGACCTTGAGTTTTCCACGCTGTTTGGAGATTTGAAACTCCAACGTCACTTCGTGGAGGAAAAATTTTGTTTTGGGCGATAAGTACTCTCCGATAATCTCTATATTAGAGTCGTCCGAACTCATACTGATTTAACTATTAAAAAGATTTTTTTTTCGATTAGTTAAATGATAATTTTACAGTTTAGAAACACGTTTTAATATACAAAAATAGTTTCTGTGTTTGTATATAAAAAACATAATAATAATACTATTTTAATACGGTATACTTAAATGGTAAAATAATCTAGACACTATAATCCTCGGTCAAAGGGTCCAATTAACATACCCACACGCTAAATACATGTTCCATGTTCCGGCGTATCTCCCCCAATGACTTAAAATATATGTTTAATATATCAGTAGTATATAAGTCACATGAATTTATATAAGTAATATATGTCAAAGATTATATTTATATATATATTAAAAATTCATATATTTAAAACTGCGTCTTCGCCACACGGATATATACGCATGGTAAATATATATAAGCTACCTGTCCGTGGTTTACCATAAAGGTCATTTCTAGCGTCTCTTTCATATGTTATATTGGAAGTGAGCTGCAAAAATTATTGAGAATGTCTAAACAGTCTTTAGAAAAACAGCAGAAGCAATTGCAAAATATGGAAATTCGTTAATTTTTAAAACTTTTTACTGTTTTTATACAAAACAAATATTAACTTATTTTTAAATATGTTTTATTGAACCAACAATAGCGCGGTCTTATGTAACCGAAATGTCACATTGAATTACGATCGAGTACCACAAAACACGTTATAAGTTATTTTCGCAAAACCAACATAAAGTGTCATTTTTCATGAACTTTCAGAATCACGTATCGACTGTTATTGTAACCGTATTTTTCGGAAAATAATTACCTTTTTTTAATTGACGGGTATCTTGAGACATTTCCAAGTTGGTAGTTGTGATGATTCTGGATTTTTATTAGGTTGCTTTTTCTTGGAAGGTTCCAAAAAGTCACCGAGGGCATCCATTGCGTCGAGAAGATCTATAAAATCTACAAGTTGACAATGTATTTGATCATTTGATCATCTGATAGTTAATTTACATAACTTTCTACAATTGGCATGAAAAGTTATGGGGCACAGTAGCATAAACCATTACCTCCCAAGCTTTGTGCTACAAATTCTAAGTTGAAACATCCATGATATGATTGATGTAGTCTGTAGTTACATGTGTAAATTTCAGTGTTTTGTAAACTTATGACATCTCCTTGAATCACGTCTTTGAACTCTGCCATTAACTGTTTGGATTACGATACGTTCAGGGGCTTTGCACACATTAGCAGTGAAACTGGTACAGCATGGAGTACCATTTTGTTGTTGTCTGTTAAAGCAGATAGCCAGTACAATAACATGGTCATACAATCTAAAATTAATCAAAATTTTATAAATTTTATTTAATATGCGTATATAAGATATTTTTAGATAAAAACAAGAGAGATAGAGAGAAAGAATGAATACGGTCGTTCTCGGCGGCGATTAGTTGCTCTTACTGCACACTACTGGGTCACACCTATAATTTGTTTACGTTGTGTTTTTTAATCTTTCGCAGTATAAAGTACAGTAGCAATAAAAAAAGTCTTAAGATTCTGCTCTGTAAAGTCTAACAATACAACCTAATAAATATTTTTTAACAAAACTAAAAACATGTTTCCTGTACAAAGAAATTTGAAATTTACTTTAAACTAAGACTACGGAGCATAAATACCTGATTTATTTTTACTTTATGTGAAAAAATTAGTTTTTCAAAACACACATAGGTTACGTGTGTTGCAGGCGTGCATACATATATATCTGGTACTTGTCTTTCGTCGAAGAATAGATGTTCCTGATTGTAGATTTTGATTTAGCAGCCTACGTTTAGGTCTTGGAACATGAGTGCTTCGGCATTATATGCCCTACAGGCGTGCTTCGCTCCATCTTCGTCCCTGGCCACGGTGAAAGATTTGGTCGGCATTCTTTTAATATGTATTACCTAGAAAATAATAGGAAAACACGAAGGCATTTGGCTGAAAGTGCCCCTTGTAACTACGATTATGGTATCAAAAATTGATTTAGTAAAGAGCGGTGAACCTATCACCTCTGCACTAAACTTGTTTAGTGTACCAGAAACTGAAATTGCATGTTCAAAAGCGGTTTATACCGAAAACCTGACGCGAAACCCATACGCCTTTTCACTTTCACGTTGAAATCGGCCCAAATTTTATTGATCTATCAAAAATTTACATTCTTACTAGCTACATGTTGAAAAGAAAAACACAGAAACTGACGTCTGGGAAATGTACGAGGGTGCTGATAACGTTGCGTATATTCAGGGAATTGGTACAACATACATCGAAAATTTAAAAATTACTTTAAACAAGAATGAGATATACAACGCCTACAATCTACAAATTTATTGATTTTATATTGATATGCTTATAAGTTATCTAAAAGATTCCATAGATTCGCTTATGCAAATGGTAGGATGGCAGCATGATAAAAATGTAGACACTATTACCGGTACCACATGCATCTTACTCAGTTTTAAAAACTAAAATTTAAAAATTATAAACCTACGTTTTTTTTGGTGGAAAATGTAGTGACTTACAAAGTAGATTTAATGTTTTAATTCTGCAATCTATTGACTATAAAAATTTTTTGTTGGTTTTGTGTCTGTCTGCAACTTCAACAGCATCCATGTACTCTTCGTCGTTCTCAGGACGGTATTTCTGACCCATGGTTGACCAAAACGTTCAAAGTGATGATCGGATGCGGAGCAATGGTGAAGTCCGCTGATATTGAAGATACTCACCATTGTCCGGTACGCTGGAAAAAACACCATCAACAATCAATTGTTCTGAAGCCCGGATGCTAAACTCTGTGTAAATTATCTTACGTTTGTAAATATTCCATCGATGGCATTACGTTAGTTTCTTGTTTTTTTTCTAACTTCTTATAAGCCTTCAAGACCATTACATCCCTTTCGCTTCGGCTTTGGGTTAACGGAAATTGTAATTTTTGAAGTAGCGGTAATTGTAGTATACAATCCAATCTTAATACAAAAAAAAAAGTATATGAAAAAGTTGTAATAAGACAGTAATTTTGAGTTTCAAAACACAACCTTTGAACAAATTCAACATACGCGCAGAGACAATTCGTCTACGGACTTCAATTACTCAAATAAGCTAATTTTAAAAAATAATATTTTTTAAAATATTAAAAATTAATATGTTTAAAAAAATTTGTAAAACAAGAAACCAACTATATAAAAATGAAAAATCGCGTCTTTCGCCACACAGACCTGAAACGCATGGTAAGTATATAGACGAATTGTTGTTCAAGATTACCATAAAGCTCATTTCTAGCGTCTCTTTTATACCTTATAAATGCGTGCGTCGCAAAAATTACTAAGAAAATCTACGCTTATAAATTAAAAAGAGAAAAAAGGCAGAGGCAAACACAAAAGTTGGAATTTTTTTTTACGGCCAGATCACTTTTGTCAAAAGTGATTCGTCGAGGGACGCCACGAAGATCTGAAAATTTATAGTTGATGTAACGTTACTCCACATAATTTTGTAGTGGTTTTTAACTTTTATTTTTAAAAATAAAAAGTTAACAACTTTTTATAAATGTTCTAAAGCAAAATTCTAGTTTAAGTTTTTACGAAATTATAACTTTTACAAACAAAAGTATATAAAATGTTTTTTACAAACACATTAAGCTAGCTATTTAAATTTTTTGGGACAGGGTAATAAAAAATGTTGACAACAACGTAAAATTTTACCAGTTTTATTATAAAAAGGTTGTAATAATAGTGAAAAAAACCTACGTTTATTCAGCAATGTAGTAGGAAATCTTCGTCTGCTTCTAATAATACGATGTTATGTTTTTCATGTGTTCAGACGAGTAAATGTTGTCTTTGTTGGCTGCAAATTACTCACATTTGTTACTATTTTTTTAAATCACAAAGCTGAAAAGAAAGTAAATGAAAAATTTGTAATAAAACATTAATTTTTAGTTGCAGGCACAATCTTACGGCGTTTGTCAATATACACGCAGAAGATTCGTCGGGTGACTTCCTGTGCGCTTCTTGAGCCAAGGCCGGAAGGCCTTGTGAAATGTATGACACCTAAGTGTATGATTTTCTTAATCTACGGGAAAGGTGCCTCTAATAGATTAAGGACACACTAGCACTTTGTCTAATTTTGTTAATAATCTTTCTGCTTCAAAGTTCTTACGTAGCAAAAAACCGGTGTAGATCGGCG